CTTGCCTACCCACTTTATCTTTCCATCCTGGCTATGTGACAGTTTATGGACACCTCAGATCTCTAGTTCAAACTCTGTTTGTATACCACCACCACCCCCCGGTCCTTTGTGGTCTACAGTGAGACAGACTGAGCCACATAGAAGGTGCTTTGGGCCATTTGGTCAGGGAACTCGGGAGGCCTGGGTCTATAAGAGATGAATGATCTAGAAAGTAGGTGAACAGCCTGTGGATGGTCATTTCCTCCCCAGCCATTGACTTCTTACTGTGTGGAGGGCATAGCTGGACAAGGGTCATTGAGAGCCCTTGTGAGGAGCGGGGCTCAGAGATGCAATCTTGAGGGAAGGTCTAAGGGAAATTCTGCCTGAAGGATGGGTAGGCATGAAGTAATAATGAAGTGCACATGGGCAGCCTTCCCTAGAAGGAGCAGCATCCCACGGAAGAGGCCTGCCTTAGCTCTATGACCAAGGGTGCAGAAGGTCCCATGAGACTGGAGAATGGACATGAGAAAGATTTGACGTTACAGAAGATATAGACAAAACATAATACACCAAGGAAAGATCACTTTGAATGGTGGAAGAACATTCGTTCCTAATTGGGCCAGTATAGCCAATATGGTACTTGATATAGAGAGAGCAAGGTACTCAGTCTGGTTAGGCCTACAAGTACTGAAAAAGGCATAATAATACTGGTAATAACAATGGTGTACATGTGGCACACACCTACAATTCCAGCCACTGAGAAGGCTGAGAGGCCAGCTTGAGCACTTTACTGAGACCTACCTCAAAATAAAAAAGGGCTGGGGATGTAAGTCAGTGGTAGGGTGCTTGTTAGCATATGCAAGGCCCAGGGTTCAGTCCCCAGTACAGAAAGAAAGAAAATTGAAGGAAAGGAAAAGAAATGGAAAGAGGGAGGGAGATATATCTGGAAAAAAGTAATTATTAAGGAATTATGGGCATGATTCAGGGGTTAGGATCATCAGGATAAACCCAAGCCTTCTGGGAAAAGCTCTTAAACTATTGAGCTAAGGGGCTGGAGAGATGGCTTAGAAGTTAAGAGCACTTTTTGCACAATCATGAGGACTGGAGTTAGGATTCCAAAACTCGTGTAACAAGCCAGGTGTCCTGAGAATGCCTGTAACTCATCTCTGAGGGATCTAATGCATACACTAAATAAATAAATAAATAAATAAATAAATAAATAAAGAGAATAAATAAATAAATAAATAAATAAATAAATAAATAAATAAATAAATGATCGTATATGTGTACATATAAAAGAATTGAGCCTAGAATCTAATTCTCTCCTTGTCTATTCTGAATACTGAAATTCGGCAGCATAATCTTCCATAGGTAACACCTCTGTGGTTTTCATATTTTTCTTTGTGACTGAATATCCCGAAAGTCCTTCTAAATTGGCAGTGCATTTCATTTTCCACTTAGTAAATTTGACTGCCATGTATGTTTGGGGCAACGTTTTGAAGTTTACTTGTGTCATTGATGACACTCTGACCGCTTAACACCAGTAAAATTATGAATGAATTAGATGTAATAAAAATTGTCCCAGAAGGGGCTGGAGAAAAGGCCCAGCAGTTAAGAGCACTGGGTGCTCTTACAGAGGACCTGGGTTCAATTCCCAGCATCCACATGGTAGCTAAGAACTGTCCTGACTCCAGTTCCAGGGGATCCAGTGCCCTCTTCTGACCTCTGTAGTCATTGCACGACAGAGGTGCACTTACATACATGCAAGCAATGCACTCATACACACACACAAAATAAATAAATAAAAAATAAAAATAGGGGCTGGAGAGATGGCCCAGCAGATAAGGGCACTGGCAGCTCTTGCAAAGGACCCGGTTTGAATCCCAGCACCCACATGGCGACTAACAGCCATCTGTAACTCTAGTTCCAGGGGATCCAACCCTGTCTTCTGTCCTGTGCGGGCATTGCACAACCTGGTTGCATAGACATAAAATAAAAATAAAGCAAAAAAAATTTTAATAAATTAAAAAAATACTTTTTTTAAACAAAGAATTGTCCCTGACACTTAAAAGCCGATGGGGGGGTGGGCTGTTTATGATAACAGTGCTTACATAATCTCAACAACCGGGGCCCTGGGGACTCACACTGGCAGATGGAACAGTTGATTTAAATTATATTTCCATGTGAAATACCGTATCGCTATTTTTTTCCCTAACATTGTGGGAAAGTGTATGGAAAATTATTTGACTGGTAGGAAATAAATCTGTGTGTATGATCGGGATTGAGACACAAATCAAATGGTAGTCTATGCCAGCTCTCTGAGGAAGCCCTCTCCTGGAGTGAGTCCAGTCACTATGTGGTACAATAGCCTTAAAGGATAGTGGCTTTCGAATGAGCCTGACTTACTGACTTTCAATAGGAAAGACACTAAAGCAACAGGAAGCATATAGCCAGCAGCCTCAAGCAGGAGCTGGGTGACTCTGTGGAACCATTTTAACTTTTCAGAATCTCACTTCCATTTGTAAGGAAAAGGTTTGATTTGCTCCCATTGTAAAGCAGGCTCAGACGAAGCCAACCAAGATAAAGGACGAATTGAATAGTAACACTCAGTGGCATCCAGCCTCTGTTGGCAAAATAAATTCTTGATCCAACCAAACCAAGGTTTCACAAAAATGGCTTTTAAATGGGACACGACCTGGTGACTGTGAGCAAGGGGCTGCTTACAGATGCAGAAGAGCTCATCTCTGGGAACCCCAGAGAGTTACTGGGATGGCATGGGTAGAGCTTGTCTTTGTGGCTTGGTTCCAGGTGTGTGATGTTGCTTGGGGCCAACATTCTCCGGAGCCAAGAGAGAACAGAGGCGTGCTCAGAGCCTCCTGGGCACAGGAGTGACAGGTTTTACTTCAACCTACTTCAGAAGGAATCAGCCGAGTCTTCTGCAGGGCTCCCACATCCAGAGTGCAACCCTGTTTGATCGCTAATTCCTTTTTGTAGCTATTTCCCCATTTGTGTCTGTGTAGGGTTAAGAAAGGTGCTTGAGCATCAGTCTCACGTGTTCTGTTGGTCAGTTTGTCTTTAACCGTCTTGGCGGTACTCTTCTTGGTGTCTTTTCCTTTCATCCCAGCTTCGTCTTCAAATGTGCAGCTCCAGGCTGAGTGCTTAAGAGTGGGGCCACGTGTAAAGAAACTGTCGCCTTTATCAGCTGAAATAAAGAGTATTAGACTAAGAGTCCTAGTTTTTACGTATCATGACCTCAGAAAGTCACTTTTCTCAGATTCTTTTGGTATCTTTAGTTGTTCATCTTATTCCTGGTTTCTTTTGTTTCTTTTAGGTTGTGATGCTGGAGATCAAACCCAGGGCTTTGCAAACCAGATTCTTGATCTGGAAAAATGGGATTGGTCTGCCCTCTATGGCAGTTGCAGGCACGAAATGTCATTAATTCTTAACTCGTTTCCACTTGTGATCCATACACCCTATACCTTGAACTCCTACTTTCTCAGATGTCTGAATCACCATTAACTCTGTTCAGGCCTCATTCTCATACAGGCTGAAGAGTTGCTCCCTGGATTTCAGCACTGCTGATGACCCGGATTTAATTAATAGGGTCAAGACTATGGTCTGACAGCTGGCCAAGGTTATGGTCTGACATCAATCCACATGTTAGTCAGGGTAGAGAAAGCAACTCAGATGGACAGAAGTGCCTAAGCACCAAAGTGAAATAGTCTTAGAGTTGAAAGAGATATTTAAAGTTTGCCTTTCATAAGGGATGTAGATGTGAATTATTAAATTTTATGTTCTAGATTCTGTAGTAGAAAAAACAAATTACACTAGAAAAATTTAATCCCAGTGCTAACAAACATGAGAGCGCCTATGTGCATAGTTGGTGGTAGTGAGGGATCCATCTGTAGTGCAGCCTCCAAATGTTGACTCCCAAGTCCAAATCCAGCCTTTGTTACCTACTGTCTGAGAATCTTCAGTAAGCTTCTGGGATCATCCCTGACTCGAGACTCTTGTGAAAGGCAAATGAGATAGCACAGAGTACTTAGAGTGGCTCCTGGTGCTGCATAAGTGTATTTGCTCTTGTGGTGGTTTGAAGGAGAGTATCCCCCATCCAAGTATTTGGACATTTTTCCCCCAGATGGTGGTGCTGTTATGGGAGGTTTTAGGAGATGTGGCCATGCTGGAGGAAAGTGTGTCACTGGGGGTGACCATTCAGAGTTCTTAAGCCTTGCCAGATCTCCCCTTACTCCGCTTCCTGTGCCTGCTTGAAGACGTGAGTGCCTGGCTTTCTGCTCTGGCCATCTCCTGCCCCCATGCTTCCCCTGCCATTATGGATTCTAACTCTCCAAACCATAAGCCAAATAAACTCTTCCTTCTGTAAGTTGCCTTGGTAATGGCATTTTATCAGAGCTACAGAAAAGTAACTGATTCACTCTTTATTGCTTTGTCATTTGAAGAACATAGCAGATAATGTATGTATAGAAGATTGCTCCAAAATATTTTTGTATTTTTATTTGATAGTACATTTTTATTTTTTCTATTTTTAAAGCATTTTTATTTATTTTAGTGTGTATATGTGGAGGTCAGAGGACAACTTTTGAGAGTCAATCCTTTCTTTCTACCATATCAGTTCCAGGAATCAAATTCAGGTCATCAGGCTTGGTGGCTGGTGCCTTTACCTGCTGAGTCATCTCATGGACCCTGATACTACATTTTTATTGCTTGATAAGTGATTTAAATTTACGAGCGAAGAATATTGACTGAATTTGATCTTCTTCCATCAACCAACCATATTTCCATCAAGATTATCCATAGGCCTTAGTTTTTACTTTAAAGATGAAGATGAAGATGCAGCCAGATCAAAGCAGTGATAGACCTAGGTTTTCTCTTCAGAGCTTTTTGCTGAGTTCCTCTTTTTCAGGCCCAAACTGATTTTTTTTAAACTGAAAAGATGTCTTTTGAAAAAGTATTTATCAAGCTATCAGGACTTGACTTCCATGAATGCCCCCCTTACCTTCCAGGTGAGCTCCTGGGTGACATGGCTTATCCTCACGGCGGGCTCTATGGAGGAGAAGCGGGAAGTCTTCTCGTATTTGGTGCATGTGGCCAAATGCTGCTGGAACATGGGCAACTATAATGCTGTCATGGAGTTCTTGGCTGGCCTCAGGTAAGGCTGTAGAACTATGGTGATCTGGATAAGTTTCTTTGATTCGGATTGCTCTGAATTGATTCCCTGGGCATCCACACTTACCAAGCTAGGCAACTGGTAGTGATCATTTGGGGAGTACACTACGTTCTTCCAGCACCATAAACCCTATCCCTCAAAGATGCTGCCAAATTCAGCCTCAACAGACCCTTCATGATCCTGCTTCACTACATCTGCACTGATCCTATGTGCTTGGCCAGGTTAAGTGGAATAACCTGGTTGTACAACTTTTCAGTCCTCGCACTGGTCCCTCTTTTCCCCTTCCTGCCCATGAACCCCACTGATACTGCCCTTTCCCCAGCTCTGCCTATCAGCTGTCCTGGCACTGTAAGCTCCTGGCCACTACTGGCCTATAATGATAACACTGGCTAACACTGAAAATAAGCTCCCAACAGTGTTGGCTCTCCATGTATTGAGCACTCACTGTATGTTAAAACTCGCTAGCTAAACTCGTTCCACACATTATATCCTTTAATTATCAAAACTACTTTTTGAGGTAAATAGAACAGTCTTCCCATATTATATCCAAAGAGGACATGAACAGGGAAGTTAAATCATTCATCCAAGGCCACCTGGTATGGCTGAAATGTAATGCAGGCAGCTTGGGAAGACAAAGACTCACTACATAGCTCAGGCTGACCTCAAACTCCTGCTTTCACTTCCTAAGTGCTGAGAATACAGGCCTGTGCTACCGTGCCCAGCTGCTTTGGATTTAAGAGCCCCATGATCTTGACCACTGTCTTTTCCATCAAGCTAATAACAAAAACTCCATCCCATCCCTCCTTACTCCCCTTCATTCTCAGTTACGTAAGAGAAAGTAACCCCCCCCCCGTAGGAGGCAGTGTGGGATATGAGAAAGGACAGCAAGAGTTGCCTAAGAGATAATGCAGTATTTAGATTATAAATAATTTAATAGTTAGCAACAGAGAATCACCTCCTTGTTCCCCAATGGAATAGCTGTGTGATCTGCACAGGTTACTTGACCTCACTGAGCCTCGGTTTATCTGTAAAACAAGGAAATATATAGCTGTAGCTGTCTAGGTAGAAGAATGCTTCACCTTCTCTGTGAGAGATCTCACCGTGGATAACTGTTGCTTTGTAATAGTACAGTATCAAGACTTTTTGTTGATTCTCCAGGTCTCTACATAAGGATCCCAGGTTGGAGAAGGACATGCAAACTCCCAGAGTTGGAATTTTTTTTTCTTTTCCTTTCCAACTTTCTTAACTAAGAATAAATTCAAATGGCCCTGTTGTTGACTTTTAAATGCCCAACACATATACCAGGCATGGCTCCGAAGAAGAAAAAAAAAATTAAGCTAGTTGGAACCCAGTTCTAGATTCTGGTTCTTTGTGGTAGGTTTCCTACAAAGAATCTGTGTTACATTTGTTTCAGAGAAAAAATTATTGGGACTGGAGAGATGGCTCAGCGGTTATGAGGACTGACTGCTCTTGCAGAAGACCCAGTTCGAATCCTAGCACCTGCACAGTGACTAATAACCATCCGTCCATAACTTCAGTTCCAGGGGATCTGACACCCTCTTCTGACCTGCAGGCATTTCACGACACAGGTGCACTTACATACATGCAGGCAGTATACTTGAACACATAAAATTAAAATAATAAGTAAAATATTTTAAGAAAAATTATTATATGGTGATAAAATAGTTCCATTTAATGATGCTTCTCCTTCTGTGTCTCACTGGGAAGTTGGTGCTAAATGTGAGCCTGGAAGCACTCTTCCCTATGGATGTTACTGTTCTCATGGTATGGTGGCTGACTCCCCCAAAGTAAACATCCGGGAGATCAAGGCATAAGCTGCAATACCTTTTATGTCCTAGCCTCAGAGGTCTGATCCTATCACTCCTACCATACTGCACTGGCCACATAGGATCAGCACTGAGTCACTGTGCACCACATGAAGGAGGGATGGACCACTGGTGACCACCTTGGAGACTGGCTACTACATGGCATGCTTCAGACTCTCTTCATACAAGAATGGCCTAAGAATAACCTCTGGAGACATAGAGGGAGTTTGACTTTTAGATCCAATCTGTTTGAATTCTGAATCCAAGAAGGCCTTACACACAGGAAATTAGACAAAGACTAACCTCAAACCAGGCTACACCTCACTGTGCATTTTGTCTTTCACCCACACCCCACCTAGTTAAATGTTCCTATATTTAGCCTAATACTAAACTTATATTTACAGATAGATGAGAAATGTACCAGGTATAATTAGCTCTTTCCTTGGAACATTATATTCAGGACTTTAGTTGTCAAATAATCTTTCGATGGAATGACTGTAGAGAGGTTTGTATGTGCACTGTTAGGCTTGAAATGCCTTTAGAGTCCATTTAACTACATCAGGGTAACTAGAAGTTTCTCTCTTTTTTTTAAGAAATTAGATGGGAAGAAAGACCATCCTCATTGTTAAATGGCTCTTGTTTTCTATAGACACTGTACATTTTGCTTCCTCTAACTGAATTCTCAGCTCTTTGAAGAAAGTAATTAGAAAGTCAAAGATGTTTCCATAGTCACCTGTCCATTTGTAAGATCCCAGATGAACATCAATGGAAAATAAAGGAAGTTACATGATCCATCGAGATTCTGAAAGAATATTTAGCTATCAAAACGAAAGATGAAGATGTTTTAAAACAGCACCAATTCTCAAGCTAACAAAAAACAGTTGATCTTGGGACTGGAGAGATGGCTCAGCGGTTAAGAGTGCTTATCGTACATGAGGACTTGAGTTCAGATCCCAGCACCCACGGAACAAGGCAGGTGTGGTCTTGCACACAGCACTGAGGAGAGTGGAGACAGAATTGCTGGAGCTTGCTGACTTCCAGCCTAGCTGAAAACATGAGAGCTCCAGGTTCAGTGAGAGACCATCTTTAAAAGGAAGAAGATGGCGGAGCTGGAGAGATGCTCAGTGGTTAAGAGCACTGGCTGCTCCTGTAGAGGACCTGAGTTGAATCCCAGTTAACAGCTGTTCATAACTCCAGTTCTAGGGTTTCCGACGCTCTCTTTTGTCCTCCGTGGGCTCTGCATGACAAGGATACACTTACATACATGCAGGCATATCACTCATATGCATAAAATAAAAAGTTTTTAAAGGAAGAATATGGAGAGTTACAGAGGAGGACACCCAACACCCTCCCCTGACCTTTCTGGGGACACAAAGGGTGCAGACAGCGCTGCACATGTGCGTGTACACACACACACACACACGCACACACACATTAAAAATAATAATAATTGAGCCTTACTGGTTTGTCCTTTGCTACCAAGTGCAATTTGATGACTCCATTGCTCACATGAAGGAGTTATTATTGATAAGAACCATATCTCATCCATTTAATTTGTTCACTCTTCCTCTTTACTGCCAAAAAAAGATTCTAACTGCTTTATAAGAACCCAGTTGTAACACTAGCTGGACTTCATGGGATGAAATCAAGAAACAGTTTTGGTTTCCAGTTTCACTGCCTTTCACAGCTACCCCACTGACTCTTTGACCCTGTGAGAGCTGATGGCTTTCCTTGTCACTTTTGTGGTAAGGCAGCCTCATTTTCCATCCAGGAACAAATCTCATCTTTTTTTAAATTTCTTTTTATTCACTTTTTGTGTATTTCATATAGAACATCTCAAACAATCTTAATCATCTTTATATCCCCTTCCCCACTGGCACCCTCCCATAGCCCCACCCCCGCCACTGGAGCCCATATACTCTGTCATCCCTGTTAAGGCCCACTGTGCAAGTCCATCCACTGAGGTCAAATCAGCCTATCTAGAGTCCCTTGTTTTAAGAAGATCAGCTCTTCTTCACCTAGCAGCAATCAGTTGAATATTTTTTCAGATAAGATTGGGGTCTGCTATTCATTTTCCCAGTTCTATGCTGGGTTTTTGTCTGCCTGAGTTTGTATGGGACTTTTGTATGCTAACACCATTGCCATAGAATCATATAAACAGGTTCCCAGGAGCTTTTAGGACTCTATTTCCATATGGTCCTGTACTTCATCTCTGGCTCTTGCAATCTTTTCTGCCCCCTCTTCTGTGATAGTCCCTGAGCCTTGGGTAGGTGAAGTTTAATAAAGGAGTCCTTTCCACAGACCAGAATTCAGACTTAGAGACTCTTGATCGGTAAGCTTTGGCCATTTGTGACCTTTGGTGTTCAAGTATGGTGTTGAAAACATGGCTGGAATGGTGATAGATCTTAGTGAAAACCCTGAGACTATCAGATCCCTAGACTAATGTGACTTCTTTCTATGTTCAATATATGTATCCTTATATTTACAGACAAATAGTCCAAGATATTTTATGGTTTTGAAGACTAACCTGAATGGGATCATTTCCCTGATTTCTTAACAATATGTTTTTTG